AATGATTTTTTATGTCTAATAATACCTTTGACATTAGAGTCTATGTTAGTGTTGCAATAGCTATGCACATTTCCTTTGGGGATGGATGATTTCTTATCAATTAGGCATCATAACTATTGCCTTCATAATTTACTTCTGCTTCAAAGGAGAGATTTAGAGCTATAATTCATAATATTTCCTTCCTTTTTTGAGTCTGGATTTTCTGCTAATGAGGGCCAACTCTCAAGATTTGGAAGCTGCATAAATAGCAATCATTAATCTTCCTGAGAATTTTCACTGTTATTTTCTTAAAAGCAGATTTTCTATGAAAGCTGCTTGCTGATCTTTGCTCCCTGATCTTTATCACCCGGCTATTTCAAAGATGGTATAAGCTTCTAATTCCCTTTATTAAATAGATATCTATTCAAAATGCCTAAAGAAGCTTCTACTTTTCTGATTAATTCAACTGAAATAGTTGATATTTTTTCTTCCAACTTCTTGTTTTCAATCTCTATCCTTGCCCTTTAGAGGCATCTCTTGTAAAAAAATAGCATAATTAGGGTTTTTACATCTGTTTTTCTTAAAGAATTGTTTGATCCATTTATAGTTTGTCTGCATGCTAAATTATTTGGGTTTAAATCTATGATCTTATTTTATGTGTTCTATTTGTCCTGCATGTTCTTACTGTGTCTCTGTCTCTCAGTCTCTGTCTCTGTCTCTTTTTCTCTCCCTGGATTGTTTACATATTTTATCTCATCCAATTTTCTCCCAACTTGTGTCAATTCATTAGTTATATCCTGTGTTTTGGTTATTTTAGTGTTACCTCAAAAATTTAAGAATTCATTTATTCCTAACTTACTAAAGCTATTTTTAAAAACCTTAGTTTCACAAAATACAACCTTTAAAACCTTGTTACATTTGCCTCCTTCCAAGTTCTGTATCAGTACTGTTATTTAGAATATCTTAAGCCCATGAGTCATAATTATTGTTCTTGCTTTACACTATTATATGGGCCGGGAGTTTAGCTCAGTGGCTCAAGTGCCTACCCCTGCATGAGTTTGTGAGTTTGATCCCTGGTACCAAAAAGAAAAAAAATTGTACTTGTCCTTGCTTTATAGTATCTTTCACCAAAGCTCTTGTTACTGATAAATCTTCTAGTACTTATTATGATAAGTGTCAACTAATAGTAAATCCTTAATTTTCTTTTATTAATCTGAACATATTTTTATTTTGCCCTCATTCTTTGATTCTTTAACGAAAATGTATTTCATTTTCATACATGATTTGTTAATGCACGAAGTAATTTTAGTTCCAAAGAACTCTATAAAATGTGGCTTTCTTGATCCCAAAAGTGTAAACAGGTTGATGAGAACCAGAGCTCTTATACTATGAGGGCCCATCATCAAGTGTCTCATCGTCCCATCAAATGATGCCATACTTCCTCAGTATTCTTGGCAGCATTTGCAGAGGTAGACCTGCAAATTTTTTCTAATGCAAGGGCAAATGCATTTTTATAAATTATATCATGTTGTCTATAAAATTCTAATTAACAAAAATTCATTCGAGTAGCTGCTTTGCACTCTGATTCTATAACACTTTATAATTGCACAGCTATAGATCTGTACTTTGCCACAGGTCATCAGATGAATAAGATTAGAACCAAATTTCCCCACCACAAGCAGACCTGTGTCCCACTTCAGCTACACATGCAAATGTGGTCCTCTGTATTCATAATGACTCTAAGGTATGACATCTCTCAAGGGCAATAGGTCACACAGAACAAACATTTAGCAAAGATATTCTGTGAGTGACAGAAATGTTCCATCGTTTCACCAGAAAAATTATATCCTTATACTTATCAAGATCAATGGCAATGTGATAGAGATATTTTATTTTATACATATGCATACAAAATCACATAGTTTAATAGCTAATAAATATAAAATAAGCAGTAGAATGTTTCATTTTTAAATTTTTTTTTATTTTAAAGACCATAAAACCAAGCAAAACAAAACAGAACAAAGCCAATCAAAGCAAACCAGTGTAAGTGACACAGGACTTCAAAACAATAGGAAATCAACAATGGTTACCATAATGCCTCCTGCTGTTTCCAAAATAGCTGCAGATACCTTCAGATATAAAAATTAAAAAATCAAGCAGAGTAGAACAGGATAGAACCAATAAAAACAAAACAATGAATGCAATACAGGACTTCAAAATAAGATAATAGTAAATCCAAAATGTTACTATAATTTTTCCTGTTATCTTTGAAACAACTGCCCATGCCTTCAGATACAATAAAATCAAACAATGCAGAACAGAACAAAAGCCAACCCCAAAAAACATTGAAAATGATACATGACTTCAAAACAAGACAATAGGGAATCAACGATGGCCACCACTCTCAGAAGGAGATTCACCATAGATGCCACACTGTGTATTGTTATCTTCTGAATAGATGATCAGTCCACCAGCTTTAGACTTGCAGTGAAACACTAAACATTAAAAGCATTAAATTTTATATCAGATCTAAAGCTATCATTACAGCCTGTGTTTCTCCGAATCAGCTGGTGGCTTATGGTGGTAGGGGTGGGACTGGCTTTTCTTTTTTACCAGCCAGCATGCAGGAAGGAGCTGGCATCTGGCTGTCCCCACAGCGGCCTGCACATGGCACCGATTCACAGGGAGGTCTTGCTTCTTGTTAACTTCTTGTTCTCTTCCCCCGCAGTCCGTGAATCAGCAGTAGCGTGTTTCAAAAGGATAGAACCAGATTACTACTGGGATCAGGATATAGAAGCATAGTATAAGTATTGTTTCTTGCTTTTAAATTTTTGTCCGGATTGTAGATCTGCCAGAACAGCTTAATGAACATGACCATAAATGAAAAAAATTGGTTTTAATGAAAGAAGATAGTTCATAGTTTAAAAGTGAACTTTTAACTTTTTATCGGTACTGGGGATTGAACTCACAACCGCCTGCTTGCAAGGCAGGTGCTTATGCCGCTGAGCTAAATCCCCAGCCCCAAAAGTGAACTTTTACAAGAAACAAAATTGGATATAGAGGTTGAAGAAGGTAAGAGCCAAAAATGAGTCCTGGAGTTTTTATTTTCTTTTGCTTGGTTTTTCTAGCTTGAGCAAGTGGTTGGCATTGTGCACACAGGTGAGCAAATTCTGAAGAGCACAATTGTGTGTGCATGGTGGGGGTGGGGTTGAAATCTGCTTGGGGAGTGGTGACTTTGAGATGCTGAAGAGACATCTGAGGAGAGAGGAAAGGTGGGCAACTGGATATGCAATGTGACATGAGGAAAAGAAGCTTGGGTTCAAAAGAGAAATTTGAGAATATCATGTAGATGGTCATTAATACCATGGAAATGGAGATCACCTAGGGATGAAATATGAGAGCAAAAGTCAGTGTGGGAGGAAACTGGACACTTATGAGGGAGCGTAAACCCAGCACGGAGACTGACAGAATTTCAGACTTCTTCCGAATACTCATACAAAGAATCCTATAATATCTTTTACCTTGATTTCCTAAAGGTTAACAACTCTTTGCTCATTTTCTCTTTATAAATACTAATTGTCACCAGGCATGGTGGTGCATACCTGTAATCCTGGAGGTTGGGAGACTGAGGCAGGAGGGTTGCCACAAATTTAGACCAGCCTGGACTACACAGGGATTTCAAGGCCACCCTGAACTATATAAAGAGACCCTGTCTCAAACAAACAAACAAACACCAAACCTAATTGTTTTCTGAACCATTTGAAAGTAAGTTGCAGACATGATGTCTTTTTAGCTCTTAATATTTAATGTGTTTGTTTAAAAATGACACTCATTTACACATTCTCATTCATCCGGTCACCAAAGTCAGGAAATTACACGGATACGACACTCTCAGACCATGAAAGTCATGACCATGCAACACAGACCATATTCAAGTTTCACTAATTCAATTGTCCTAATAATGCCCTATATAGCGAGAGAAAATTCCTGAGCTGGCAGTCGCTTCAGATGCCATGTCTCTTTAGTTAGGGGTGTGTTTGGATGTAACATGAGAGCCGCTCCTCAAACGTTCTCTTATTTGTCTCATGGGAAATGCAACCAATTTTTTAAATAAATGAGGATACAAATGCCCTGGGGAGCTATGAAGAGCTGTGAGTCACTGAGAGTACATAGACCTAAGGCTGGCAGAAGAGCTGCAACCCTTGGGAGAAGCCTCATTCTTGATCTAGGAAAGCCATAATACCAGCAGCAGCCAGTAGAAAAGCAGCGGGTACCAGTGTGCAGACACCTGGGTTCAGCAGCAAGAAGCCAGCAGTCACAGAGGAGAGACACAGGACACTGGAACTAGGGACATTTTATAGGCTTGCTCCTCAAGGGGAGCCAATCCCGATCCACCAACTTGGGAGGTGTCTGTAGCCAGCCCAGGTCTCCTCTACTGCTGCCCCTTTTGCAGTTTCTGCCAGAACTACAACCAAGGTGGTGAAGAAGCCACAGTTCAAGGGTGTTGGGCCTGCTGCTGACCATAAATGTATTCCCAAACTTCTTATGCCTTCCTCCTGGGAAGCCTCTGGAAATGTCAAGTGAGCACAGGCCTGATGCCCCTGATCTGTCATGAGCTCTTTGGACACAGATCTTCTGGTCCCCGGGACTTCTGCCTGCACTGCGCAGCCGTGTTTCACGGCTTTCAGCTCTCTTTTGCCATTTGAATCTTAATTCAAGCATCACCCAGGAGAGGACGCTGAGTAGACCCTGACAAGCTCCTACCATCTGCAGTAACATTTCCCCCATCATCTTGACAGTTGGGAGCTGGCAATATTACAATTCAGACAGCACTCTGTGTTTGAAAGGAAAATTACGGTTTTTCAGAATGCAGCTGGTGTGCAAGTGAATAGGATGAACTTACTATGAAGAATTTCCCTCACATTACGAAATGAAAATAATAACATGGAGATTCAGCGTGTGGTTATTTTAAAAGAACCAAAAGGCACAGTTTGGGGAACAAAGGCAAACAAAGCATCCTGTTCCACAGTAATAATTTTAATAAGAAGCAAAAATAGCAAAACAATCATTTATAAATGATTTCTTCTATGTTGGAAGAGTTAACATTGGTATTGCTGTATAAACCACTTGGAAGTGAACTATTTTGGTGCCTAGTTAAGATCTATTCTTCAAAGCACATTTTCATTTTGCCAATTAGTGTGCTTTCAATTTGCTAACCGTGCACTTTCCTGCAGGGAACTTAGCTGGAATACCTCCTCCCCCAGGTAAGACTAACCTTATGAACCAGAACAAAGGGGAAAAGCAAATGTTTTTCCTGTATAAAAATCATAGAAGCTATTTTACACGTACAAACACACATGCATGCACACACATGTAGAAGTAGGGTTTGCAATGAATAGGTTGTGCACAGTTTACCAGGACTCTTGCTTCTGAGGAAATCTTCACACTGAAAAATATTTCGGTGCTTACATGTCTCAGTGTCTCTGTCACCCAGGAGTGGTGGGGCACTCACAAATGTTTAACAACCAGCTCACAGGGGTGACAAACATGCTCTGTGGTGTTTGCCCATTTCTGATGTAGCTCATTCGATTGTGGCTAATTCTAAGCTACCAGTGTGGCATCTTTGAATGGTGGAGTTGGGAGGAGAGAGGCAGTGGCACACAGTTAATTATATAGTATTTCCACTACACAAACACGACAAATGTCAATAGCCACAACAAGATAGTAAAATAAGTAGGAAGTTTGTTTTGAGTTTTTCTGTTTTAATTGTAAGTTTATATGATTTAATGTTTAATAATGCATATGTTTAATAATCAGCTCATAACATTCCTGAAAATTTAACAGGCTGCTCTCTTGGTTGGTAGAAACTTGCTTCAGGATATTTCTGGAGCTCAGGGGACCTCCAGTGGATCTAAACACACAGGGCACTGCCTGGTCCTTCCTTTACAAAGACATCTGTTACTCCACAGAATGATTAAGGGCTACCAGTCCTCCCCTTATAGCAAATTAGTATCTCAAATAGGAGATTCTAGGAGTCCCACTCAGGACAGGGCCAGGACAGCAGAAGTTTAGCTACTTTATTGATTCACTTCATTTATCTCAGGGCTGTCATCCTGGCCGATGCAGATGGTGCTGTCAGTTCCTTGCTTCCTGTACTTCCTGGACTCCCTCTCACCCTCTGTTTGGTAAAAGACCCTGGCACCTCCTCCTTCCATTTGATGCAAAGCCAGTAAACCTAATACAGGAAGAACCAAGCAAACAAAAACCAAGTGCTGAATCACTCAAGGTCAGGCTACTCATCCGCTTTCTAGCCTCCCAACTGTCTGAGCCAAATACATACCCTGTACGTTGCATACAGCATAGCATCATAGTATCAAGGATGGATGCGATTCATTAAACTCAAATGACAGCCTGCTTGAGCAGCCGCCAGCCCTATCCCCAGCATCCCTATCCCCAGTTGCAAAGCTGCTGCCTGCCAGCTTTTATCCCTTGGCACTGAGCCACAAGCACAAGAAGGCTCGTGGCTGCTCACAGTGGTGGCAGCCAAAGGAAAGGAAACTGAAGTATATATTAGTGTTTCATTTTCAAGATTACGTCTACCGATTGCATCAGAGGTGTCAAAACTACACGTTAGCAAGTTAGACTGTTCCTAAGGTCATACAAGCTCTAGCTTATCTGAGTTGGGTTTTGAACCCCACTTCACTCAAACTGGTGCCATTCACAGTATTCCCTTTTGCCTTCCGGGGGTTCGCTCCCGGCAGGCTAGTGGTGATCATGATCATTAGGATGCTGGGTTATCACAGTGAGAATGAAACGTGTCACCTTCAGGGATGCCTTTCGAGCTCCCCTTGAGGTAGGTGGTTTTGTTTGGGAAATTCCTTCTGTAAGCCACCAATGGTAAAGGGTGAAATCATGAAAGTAAGCATTAGGAATCAAAATTTAAAAAGAGGAATGGTTATACCTAAGAACGTAAATGGATTTGGCATGTTCCAAAAGAGATATGGGGACCACGTGGAATGGCAGGTGAGTAGAGAGACTCCTTCATAGGATATGAAGATTCTGAGCGTTGCCAAGTCTGCATTGCTGCAGTGTCTGCCACTCCCTGTCACATCCAGATGAGTGCGTGTGCACACACATTCATTTAAATTTTGCCATGTGAGGAAATGGGGGAGGGAACTGAGCTTCCGGTCTTCACTGATGCAGTGCAGGCATGCGACAACACTGTTACTTACAATGAGGTAGCAGAAGTTTGGAATCAGTAGTTACAAAAAATAAATCCCTTTAGAAATCACAGAAATCCAAGGGATCTGAATGGGAGCACAGTTAGAACCATTGGATTTGAAGGGATAATCGGTTCTCAGATGACATTTGGGCTTTCACAGAAAAGAATCTGCCTAGTGAGACACACTGCAGAATAAAATGGGAGGAAACTTTTGAGCTTTTTAGTGGTTGCAGCTGGAGCGTGTATAGCAAAGACTCCCCTTTAGGTGCACCTGATGGGAGTTCAGGAACGCCAAATCCTTGGCCGTCAAGTCCTTTTGCAGTGAGAGGACATTAGCCAAAATGGAGCGGAGGAGGCCCTCAGTCGCTTGGCAGGGCCCTTCTCCTTTACATCCTGAGTGCGTGGTGGAGCTAAATGGTCTTGGTTGATCCTGAAGAGGGTGCAGGACAGCAGTCAGTTTGCACCCTGGAAGCCTCACGCACCTTTGGGGCTCTTGCCTAGATCCATGCAAGTGTTGAAGCACTGACAGTTGCCCATTGCCACTATACTGTGCAGAGAAGAGGCTTGTGGGAAGGGGCATGAGCAGAGGGTGGGCCCTGGATAACAGGAAAGGCTAGAAGGGTAGCTGTGTACTAACCTGGATTCAACCTTGCTGCCAACTGGCTGAGTGACTGGTGTTTGGAACCGGATGCCCTATTTATAAAATGGGGACTAGACTGCCCTTCAAGTGCTGCTATTCCTGTGGCCTCCAAACTGGCTTTTGGAGTGATTTTTGCAATGTTGCTTTGGAGTCCCAGAGAAAATGAACTTCACAGAACAGGGTCACCAAATAGGGTTGAGATGTCAGGCCAGGGGATGGGATAGTGCTGCATGTTGGCAGGAACGGTCCCTGAAGGGAATCAGAAGGGATGAAGGAAGAAAGCTCACTCAGCTGTGAGGATTTTAGGAGGGAAGACTGCAGAGTAGAGCCATAGATTTGGAAAGGGGCATTATTCAGTTTTAGGGAAGGATTAAAATCATAAATCCCTGAGAAGGATGGTCTCCAGATAGAAACATTTTAAAGTGCTCATCTGTTCTAATCTTGAATCTGTGAGGCAAAGCCAAAAGTAGCACCAAGTTTTCTATTAAGCTGTAGCCCCAAATCTAAGAACATTAACTCCAGGGACATTGACAAATAGCTATTGTCAGGGTCCTTCCCAAAACATCTGCACAGACTAACTGCAAACAGAGGCCTCACTTCCAGGACAAAGGCAAGCATTACACTGAAGTGGCTTGTTTGCTGTTGGATGCATCCCTTCACGCTCCTCAGTAAATTGCAACTCTTGGCTTTGCCAGCCAGGGTACCCTGATCCATTCGCTTCTACAAGGGTCAGCTGTTACTTGAGTGGTTCTGGAACACCATGTACCCATTAGCTGCTTCCATCTTCCTCAGATTTAGTGTTTTCAAAACCAGCATGCCTCACGACTTAGAAAAGGGATGAGGTACATCTTCCTCACTTCTGCAGGATGCATACAAGTCCATGCATCCCAGTATCTTCATATAGAGCAGCTGGCTTCAAGGACATCTACCTATATTCAATATATTCATGATATTTTCATTAAAATAACCCACAAAAGAGCCATTTTTTCATCCTCCTCACTAGGATCCCAAATCATCCCAAATTTGTTTTCCTCCCACAAAACAATCCCAGACCTTTCCTCTCCTCTTTCCTTCTTGCTGTATGCCAATAATCATGGACTCCCTTTCCGGGAGCATTGAATCTACAACTTATGATCCACTTAGATGATTTTTTTTGTTTTGTTTTGTTTTGTCTTTTTCATTTTTATTGGTACCAGGGATTGAACTCACGACCGCCTGCTTGCAAGGCAGGTGCTTATGCCGCTGAGCTAAATCCCCAGCCCCAACTTAGATGATTTTTGAGATCCTAGAGACCTAAAGCCCCTGATCCACACTCTGTTCACTCCATACTCAGACAGACAGATAGCATGAAGACATTTTTCCCAAGTGCAGAATCATATATATTCTGAGTGACTGAGCTATTGATTGGCATTCAAGTTTGACCAGTTTCAAGATGCTACTAGTAGATAAAGGGAAGACCATATACAGACACTGAATTTATGTTACATAAGGAAGATTTTGTTAGTTGTTATACAAGAGTCAAGGGTTGCAGGTTATAAACAACACATCCAGAAGGCTCTTGGAGCATCCCCAGAGCCTATTCCTTTCAGGTTGCAAGTTTCCCTGGCTGGAAGGCCTCCAAGAAGCTGCATTCTTTTCTCAGGGCCTCCATTGTTTGGTTTGTTGATACCAGGAATTCATGCTCTCCTTTTTTAATTTCTTCAGAGGAGCAGTGATGAGAATTTGTGTTAAAATCAGGTGTCAGGGGTGCTGTTACCAGCTTTCACATAATGAACAGCCTCACCTACTGACTCACTGCAACTTCAGTCTCCAAGGTAAATACAGTAGGCCTTCTCTGTCTGCAGAGAGGGAAAATGTACACAGAGTTCATGAGATTGCACAGGGGAGGTCAGCTGTGTGAGGACAGCTGTACCTGGCATGGGTAGCGGTGACACATGTAACCAGGCCACCTGACTGAGGCTCGTAAAGCCCACAGCCAGCTGTGGTATGGAAAACCCTGGAAGATGGGGCTAGGATCCAGCTGTAACCCAGCTTTCTCTACTCCTAGACAGGATTAATTCCAGGCAGTGATGCCAATGACAACAGATGTCCCTACCAGCTGGAAAATGAGACTCCTCTGGCAAAGGAATGTGGGGACATTTTAGCTGCTCTTCTCAGGATGGGGCCCTGCTAGCATCCTTTCAGACAGATCAGGGAGATGAGTCTTACACCAAACAGTGAAACAGTGAAAATGAATGAATGTAGCTTCCAGGAGGCCAACAATTGTTTCAGATATTTACACAGAAAGAATCTGATCAATTTCAGTGAGAACAAACCAAAAATTTTCCTCTTTTAAAGCCACCCTGAGTGGTAAAGATAAAGTACAGGTCTTAACCTATGCAAGGGTGAAGTATTATCAGTATTCAACTGTACAAGACACATTACTTGGGTTACAGTTCAATGGCATGCACCCTATGGACTGCATTTAAATTACAACTGTGTTGTATGACATCTCCATTACATGGCACCACATATTTTTAAATTGTACAACTGTTACTTGGTGAGGTCTGGTTTTAACTACAGTATTTTAAGAGCCAATTTCTACTTGTGTTGTGAAAAATATAATAGTTTAACTTTATATACATATTCCATTTACAGCAGAGGAAGTACAGGAATTATGCACTCACATGGGTGGTGCTGCCTTCAAAGTAGTTACCATGGAAAGATACATGTTTATTTCATGAAGCTGACATTACACAAAACATTTCTAGAACCCTCTTTGGAAACTGTAACTTGTAAGCTTCCTTAGCAATCTTTTTCCTTTAAGGGCAGATCTGGTTTTTGAGGAATTTTTTTTAACAGGCAAAGGGCATTAGAAAATAAGTCTGATAAATAAAATGGGAGTGGAACTTGGTACTACCTTAGCAGGAGGGAGATTAAAACAAAAAACAAGGTCTGATTATAAATTGAGGCCTCTTTCCTCCCATGGCTTTAAAGATAACCCCAAAGAGGAATTTTAAGTGTTCTTGGCACATGCAACATCATAGCTCAAGAGTATGGTCTCCCAAGGAAATAACTGCAATAATGGTAATTCTTGAGTGTAGATACCCTAGTATATTTGGTCACTGCTCATTTTCAGTTACACTTCATATAAGCAGAAGTGGGAAACTCTTTCACCATGATTCCTCCCAAGGGAAACGTGTGATCTACGGCTTGAAGAGTTAAAATGAAAAGCACTTGGTGTCATGTCTACATCAGCTCCCCTCCCACAACGTGCCTGGAGTAATTCCTGATACCTGAGTCTCCTCAGTTTGGAAAAGTGGGTAAGAACAGGATTCTGGTGCCTGGAGAAGAACTGAGCATCCAGGGTATCAGAGTGAGTTTCCAATAGCTGGCTCTACCCAAAAGGCCCACAACATCAACTCATACAGAAAACCTCCTACAGCTATGCCGTAAAGTTTCAGCAGAGGAAGGAGAACGATTGTCTATCTTCTGGCAACTTTCCGTGGTAAAAACCCACTGGCTTCAGGATGACAAGTGAACAGAGTCCATTGCAAAGCAAGTCCATGGGGTTAGGTTCTAGTGCACGCTTAAGAAACAAAGTGTGTGGCCACCAGCCCGTTGAAGTCTGATTCCAGCTGAGGCCAAAGGCAGCAAAGGTGCAAAAAGCCGCTGGAGCTGGCATTAGTTGAAGCAGGGTTTATGAATTCAGAGTGGCCAAGCAATTTGTAGAAAGTCCCAGATACAAAGCAGGACATACGCCAACCAGTAAGGTCAAAGAACATTCCATCCCCTTCCTACAAAGTGCTTCATTGCAAATGCTAATGAAGAAGCTCCCTAAAATACCACATCCTGAGGGCTGAATGTGGTCCAAAATCACGGTGGAGAAGGTGACTGAAGGGGAGCAGAGGCTGACCCTCTGCAAGCATTTCAGCTCTGTATTTTCTGGGCATCACACACATGCTGAGTGAAGCACGTATCACCGCAGTCGCATCCCACCTGGTCTGCACAGGTTTCCAGCTGTTTCCAGGAGCCAATCCAAGTTCACGTTCTCTGCTAACAGCCAGAAACAGCAGCACAGAGTCAGGGCTTTATCCAAGCGCTCACAGCAGGCATTAGCCTCAGACTGATCCACGGAGATGGTGGTGGTGGTGAGCATTTTCATACTAGCGTCTATAAAAACCACAAAGCTAAGCCATTTGCTCAAATCATCGTTAGAAAGAATGCTGAGTGCCCAGATGGGATTTCTAGTTCCTGTGCAAATGAAATCACACTAGTCCAGATTTTATTCACATGAAACTACTAGGGAAGCAGTAGGATTTGGTTTAAATGCTGCCAGAAAGCAGGAGTTCACTTAAGTTTTAATTCTGAAGCAATCCTGTTGTTAATGTTGTAGCCGGGCTCCGGCAGCACAGGGGGTGGGCCCCCCTTTGTGTTTGCGGAGGAATCCCGGACCTCTCCCAGTTCAGGTTCACTCTCACTAGAGGTAGACCCATTGTTGATGGTGTAGACGCTCTCTGCGACTCCCTGAGCTGAAGCACAGCCATCTGGCTCCTTCTTCTCCCTGGGGCTCGACAGTCCTGGGAGGACGGCCATCTTCCCGGTCTGCCGGTTTGGCAGCAAAGACATGGAATAGTCTGCAATGATCCCTCCCACGTCTAAGTTGCACGCCTGGTCGAAGGCCAGGAAGCCGACGTTGGCATTGGCTTCGCACACCACAAAGGAGCCATCGTCCATGATGAGAAGATCGATGCCACAGAAGTCCATGCCCAGGATGTTGGACACCTGAATGGCCAGCTGCTTGCCTTGTTCTGTCAGGGGGCACATGACGCCCACGCCACCTGGGGGAAAGCATAGGACGTCAAGGTGGTAATGAGTACTGGCTGACGGTCTAACGACGCTTCGAAGAAGAGACACGGACTGCTGGCAAGGGCAGGGAGATGGGCAGCGTCATTTTCCACAAACGGTCTGGACGGAAATCTGGACGCTCTTTGGGAAAACAGAACGTCATCTCTTACCTAGAATCTTAGAAATGCGATACTCTCTGGCCTAACCATCCCATCACTAAAAACATAATTTTATGTATGCAAAAAAACTTTATGAACAAAGATGTTGATGGCAATGTTATTTAAAATACTGGAAAATCAGTGCCTGTACTGGTACACAGTGGGCTTTCAATACATATTTGTCAAATGAAGAGAAAAAAACTTATAATCTAAATATTTTATAATGAAAGAAAACAGCATATCTTACAGTCACTAATAATATCATTAATAGAATGTTTGTAATTTCATGGGAAAACACTTACAAGGTACAGTATGACGCGACTGTACAAATGTATACTTGTCAGAAAAGGACTGGAAAAATGACACCAAAATGTTAACAGTGGCTATTTCTAAATGGGGATGATGATACATTTTTAAAATTTGACTGCACTTAGTTTCTACATTGAGAATGTATTTCTGATTAGAAAAAAATAGTCAGGTGTTGTGGTGCACGCCTGTAATCCTAGCACTTGGGAGGCTGAGGCAGGAGGATCCTTGTGAGTTCCAGGCCAGCCTGGGCTCCATAATGAGTTGAGGACCAGCTCAACCACATAGCAAGACCCTGTCTCAAAACAAAACAAAACAATGTTGATTTTTAAGAAAAAACTACACAGGATTTTGAGACAAAATTCTGTACCAAGAACAGTAGGACTGTAATTGCCCAGACTTGTTAAAACCCTAGGACCTCAGATTTAATTGTCTCCATCTGTTCTCCCTGGAAAAACTTAAGACTTGCATTCTCAGGTCTCATAAGTAATGTCTGTACCTTAACACTGTCCCTTCTCCACCTACAATACTGTACAGGGTAAAGGCTATACAGCGATTTTAAAACAGCCTACCAAGAAAAGCAACATGGCTCTATAACAAAGCCATCTGGTTACCAAAGAATGAATTTTGGGTGATAACTTAAAAAGACAAAATGGTAATTCAAACGCTCACTACTGCAGTTCTACATAGGATTATTGTGAAAATGAAGTAAGGTAACTTCTAATATTGCCATCAAAAATGGAATAGGGGGCCAGGAAATTAGCTCAGTGGCATAAGCACCTGCCTGGCAAATGTGTGGTTGTGAGTTCAACCCTTACTACCACAAAAAAAAAAAAAAAAAAAAAAAAAAAAAGGAATAAGATAACTGAGTCCTGCTGGGTGTGATGGTGCATGTAATCCCAGCACTCAGGCTGAGGTAGGAGGATTGCTATGAATTCAAGGCCAACTTGGGCTACACAGCAAGACCTTGTCTGAAAACAAAAACAAAAAGGAAACAATAACAAAAGGGTACTAAGTACTGCGTTCAACTGAATCTTACCACCTGACCATCACACCACTTACCACCTGTTCACACATCTTGGCCTCTCAAAATCTGTATCCTCTCAACATCTGCCACAGACTCTGTTGTGTGCTGCTCAATGCATGTTAGTAAAAGAAAGACTCGATTACTGTCTAAGCCTCTTTATTAGTCACTGGGCATGGTATGCACATCTGATGAGCTAGGAAATAGTGACTGTAGGTTTTTTTTTTTTGTACCAGGGATGGAACTCACAACCTTGTGCTTGCCAGGCAGGCACTTGTGCTGCTGAGCTAAACCCCCAGCCTGACTGTAGGAATTTTTTTTTTAATTAACAGCATACAAATTTGCTCAGTGTGATTGACAAGAGCTTCATGAGATGGGGACAAGAATCTATATATCTCCTGGAGTATTTCTACTCACTCTGACAGAAAGCAAGCTTTACTGATAGGTTAAAGGGCTAGGCATTCAGCCAAAATATAAACTGTAGCTTCCTAATAGCATCACACGTAAGAGGAAAAAGCTTTCCAATTAAAATGCAGAAGCATATGAGATTCCTCCAGCTACCACTTGACATTAGACCCTTAAAGTTCCCTGCCTGAGCTGCTGGAACATCTTCCAAACTCGTCTTCCTGCCTCGGGTCTTATTCTTTCTATCTGTCCCTAACTAAAATGAGAATTTTTCTCAAATGTCGGTCTCCTTGTCACTCTCATGTTTAATGCTCACGCTGCCTCAACACTTACAGGACAAGGTCCAAACCCCTGCGTCCTGACACCCACCCCTGGCCTCTGTCCCAGCACTTACATATCCTCCTCCCAGACTGCTCGTCACCTTGAGAAAGACTCATGTTTTACTCTTCCCTGTGAAATCCTGGTGTCGGACCAAGGGTCTGATAAGACAGCAGAGATCAATACATGTTTACTGAGCAGGTCCAAATAGACTAAGGCAACATCCTGGTGGCTTCCGTGACCAAGTGGATCGCTCTGTGCCTTACCCAGAGAGCAGTTGCTCTGCATCCGTCCGTCTGTGGAGCAGCGAAGCATGGAGCCTATCACCTGGCCCCCGACCACCACCACCCGGATATCTTTTCCGTGGGACTCCTTCACGTATTTCTGAAACAGGTAGGGCACATCATGGCGGATCAGGTGGCAGATGTCTGAGAGGTGATGTTTGTCTCTTGCCAGAAAAACAGCTTTTCCTGTAAGAAGAAAGATGAAGAGCAAGAAACGTGTTCAGAGAAGGCTCAGGCCCCTGCCTTGTCTCCTGTCTTCCTGTTCCAAACAGGCACCAATGCTCTCTGCCCCTGCTTTGCTCTAGTCTCTTCTGTTTCTCTGATGAGATTCTTACTTTTTATCAAAATAAGGCCACTGAACTTTATTTTCTCTTGATTTTCCCCAAGTTTTAATACTGTTCACTCTCTCCCTCACCACCCTCCTTTTTTTGCCCTGAAATGAAGTAACAATGTATTCCACAAACACAGAGAAGGAGCCACAATAAAATCCTAAGGAGCTAATTGGTTCAGTTTCAGAAACAGTTAATTAGCATCTCCTGTCACCCTGAGGACATAGAGTAGGCAGGGTTCATGGCTAACTTTGTTTTAATTCCCCAGACCTCAAACTGGACTCAGCGCACAGGGCAGCTGTCCATCAGTGTTTACAGAACATAATTAATTGAGCATACTTTAAGGGAAGTCAGAGAGAGATCCAAGAAAGATAACTACAACCCAGAATAATGTGCATTAAAATAGGTCTATGTAAAATGCTGTGGGCACTCAAAGGAAGGAGCCACTGACAGATATCCTTTTCCCTTCTAAAGGAGAAATTTTATTATTTGGCTATCCTTCGATAGGAATAGCCCGCATGTCTACTGCTCTCTAGAAAAGCATTTCTTCTTAATTCTAAACTCTGTTTGCTTTTGTAATTACTCATCATCTGTTTTTCACCTGCATATTAGCTAACAGTTCTGAGTAGGGGAGTTCTTAATAGGTTTGCTCTGTGAATCTGACACAACCATGCCCAGGCTGAGTATTTTTCCTTCAAAAATGAGACAAAGTATGGCACCATCACAAAAGGAGAACTTTTATGAAGTCTTTTTGTTTTTTGTCTTTTTGATACAGGGTTTCTCTATGCAGTTCAGACTGGCCTTGGGCTCACTCTATAACCCAGGCTGGTCTCAAACTTGCAACGATCCTCTTGCCTCAGCCTCCTGAGTGCTGGGATTACAGGAGTGCAGCACCTTGCCTGGCTTTGAAGTCTTTAATAAAAACAGCAACATGCATTGATCCCTGCTGCCATACAAGACTGAAAAGTAAATTGTAAAACATGTCATAACCAACTTTCATTTCAACAGTCATTTCTGTTATTTCATTTCTGAAATTCCACATCTCAGATGCCCAAGAGAACTGCAGGAGTTGGGGCAAGTGATCTAAGGATGGCAAGTAACCAGTGGCTGGAGGATGTGCAGATAAGTGGGCACTCAGTGTCTGCTGGAGAGCAGCCCACAAGTGGGCACAGGAAGAAAAAGCAGGAAAGGCTCCATCGAGTGGGCATGAGAGGAAACTGGAGAGGCTCAGCAAATGGAGATCTGGCGTCTGGCAAGAGGTGGCTGGGATTCAGTTAGAGGCACCACAATTCTCTGGACCTTAAGCAGGATTTTCAGCAGAGATGGGGGCTAGGGTTTGTTCCTTATGTGCAGTTAATAAAGGAACTACAGTTTCTGTTTTCTTTAATGGTAGCAGAACTTGAACTCAGGACTTTGCACTTGCCAGGCAGGCGCTTTGTTACTGTGCTATATTCTCAACCAGAAGCTACAGTTTTGTTTTGTTTTTTTGTACCAGGGATTGAACTCATGACCTAGCACTTGGTAGGCAGGTGCTTATGTTGCTGAGCTAAATCCCTGGCAGGAACTACAGTTTTAAGTAAAGGAAGAAAAAAAAATGAAAGACAACAAGATTAATCATGCTAAGCACTTTTTGTTTTACTGTTTCATTTATATGTCAGACTGGCCCTAGGGAGTCATTAGGACAAAGAGCCTTACTCTTCAAGGAGGAGTGTCCGTAAGGTGGGTAACTTTCTCATGGGCATAGCGGTCACTGCCTGCTTGGACCTCTTTAGATTCACTTCCTTACACATTGAGTCCTCTCTGTCTAAGGCCCCTCATTTGAGTATTCAACCAATTGTAAGTCTTTCCATTATTCCTGAAACAACACAGTTTAATAATGATTTATAGAATATTCACATTGTACTACATTTTATAAGAAAATTGAGATAAAGTATTTAGGGAATGTGTATAGTTATTTGCAGATATTGTGCCACTTTCCAAAAAAAAAAAAAAAACATTTGAACATCTATAGACTTTCCTATCTTTGGGGGATCCTAAACTCAATCTTCTAGATACCAAAGGACAGCTATATGACAGTCTGACTTACCTGCTGAAATTCTGTGCACTCCCTAGTCATTTGCCCTGCTAAGATACTATGAGTTATGCCAGCAAAGAATAATTTAAAAATAAAATTAAGAATACAGTTTGATGCTGTTGATAACAGCATCAAAAAGATTAAAGTATTTAGGAACAAGTTTAAGAAATACAAGATTTATACACTGAAAACTATAAAACATTATTGAAAGAAAATAAAAGATTTAAATGAATGAGAAACGTATCATATTCACGAATTGTTACTCTTAAAATTGATCTAGCTGTGTGTGGTGGTGCTTGTCTGTGATCCCAGTACTTAGGAGGCAGAGGCAGGAGGACTGCCATGAGTTCAAGGCCTGCCTGGGCTACACAGTGAGTTCAAGGTCAGCCTAAGCTACATAACAAGACCTTGTCTCAGACAAAACAAAACACAGAGTTGGGTGTGGTGGCACATATCTACAGTCCCAGCACTCTCAGAGGCTAAACCAGGAGGATTACAAGTTTAAGCCCAGCCTGGGCAACTTGGTGACCCAGTGAGACTTTGTCTCAAAATAAAATATAAAAAAGAGTGGGATATAGGTTCAATCCCCAGCACCATAAAATACAGAGAAAGACACCAGACTTGAACTAAAATACACATAAACCAGACTTCACCAAAATAAACATCTTTGTAGATCGAAGACATTATCAAGAAAGGAAAAACAACCCACAGAATGGGGAGAAACATTATTTAAGGAGTATTTGAACTCAGTAATTGAAAAAAAAAAGTTAGCTTTGAAATGGGCAAAGAATTTATATTCCTCCAAAGATATAAAAACAGCCCACAAACATGAAAAGATCCTTGACATCACTAGTCATTAAGGAAATGCAGATCAAAAAAATAATGAAGCTAGTGTGGTGGCACTTGCCTGTGATTCTAGTTACTTGAAAGGCTGAGGCAGGAGACTTCCAAATTTGGCCAATCTATACACTTTAGCAAGATCTTGTCTCAAAATAAAATAAGGAAAGGGCTGGGGATGTAGCTGTAGCAGAGTGTTTGCCTAGCATCTACTATATATTAAACTGGTTTAATCTCCAGTAGCACTACAAAAAAATACATACATTTTTATGTAAAAATATATATACAAATTATATACATACATACTATGTATCACTTCACACCAACTAGGATGGCTATAATAAACATACACACACAAAAAACAAGTGTTGGCAAGGATGTGGAGAAAATGAGATCTCCATACATTGTTGGTGGTACGTATACCGGCATAACCACTGTAGAAAATAACTAACAGTCCTCTAAGAGTTAAACACAGGACCCAGAGTATCCATTCTCAAGAGAAATGAAAATGCACGGTCAGACAGAAACTTGTGCAATGCTATTCATAACGCTCACAAAGTGAAAATAACTCATGTCTGCCAAACGATGAACAGATAAACAAAACATGGTGTATCTCCGTGACAGAGTATCACTGTGCACTGAAAGGGACAGAAGAGCGCTACATGATATAACACAGACAAAGCCTGAAAACCTGCTAAGAAGCCAGACACAAAACTTCATATATGATATAAATCCATTTATATAAAACTTCTACAGCAGGCAAATGCAGAAAGACACAAAGAAGACCAGCAAGTGCCGGGGACTGGGGAAAGGGTAGCGAGGCCTAACTTCTAATAGGTACAAGGTTTCTTTCCGAAGGGATAGAAATGTTCTGAAATTAACCTGGTAATTGCTGTAAACATAGTGGATGTGCTAACACTAACTGAATTTTACACTTTATGGTGGTCATTTTTATGTGGATATTTCATTTTTGAAAACCTGAAAATATTATGCACTATGTTTACTTTCCACTTTTAGTCAGCCAAACCTTTCTGCAGTGTAAGCTCCTGGAGGGAAAGAATCTGGTGCTTATCCGCGTCCTCAGAGTCTAGACTAAGTAATACTTGACACTCGGTAGGTACTTAGCAAGTACTAGCTGCGTGTTACATCTCACACATTTTACAATTTTTAACGAGCAGAGGTTGAATGTTAGCACAGCAGCATATGTACACCTCAGATGAAGAGCGCTCTGATGCCACGTGGGCTCACGCATCCTGCTCCTCAGCCCTCCCACGGGCCACTTGCTCACGCCTGCTTCCACCTGCTGCTCACCCACCTCCTTAAGCTCCAGTTCTATGTGGTACCTGGAGCCTTTTTGGGGCAGAGTAGGCCCATCTCTCCCTCAAGCTGAAATGGGCCCCTGATGCCTGTTGCAGGGCTCAACACTCAGAGATGGTGCCCTCTCTACTGCCTGCACCTTTGAGCAGGGGCAATGGCAGGTCTCTACTTAGCAGTGACTGTTATTATACACCCAATTGGGGCTACCTATCTCCCTCACACCAGGGTCTCAGGCATAAGTAGGCTGTACCATCCGAGCTTCACACTGAAGGAGGGCTGCCTCCTCTGCCCATGTCCCTAGGACTGCCCACCATGCACGCCACTGTAGCACGCCTTATAGAGACGGGTACTCATGACCTGGTCCCCACTGCTGAGCATATAGCTGGGCCTATAAAGGGAACAGGCACTTCAAACTGCTGTGGAGCACAGCACTACCTTAAAGGCACGTGCAGAGGCTACAAAAACAAAAAGGGAAGAGAAATTACTTTTGTCTCAAAGAGAGGGAGACCGGAACTGTGGGGAGAAAAGAAAGTGACTTAGGAAGCTGACTTAAAGGATGAGAAATTCACCAGGTAGACAAAGGCAGATGGCCCTGGCAGTCCAGGTAAGAGAGTAAGTGTATAAAGAGAGGACAATACGTAGTCTACTTGGCATAAAAGGGCACTCTGAAAGGGGATGGAGGCTCACGTCGGCAAAGAAGGCTGCAGGGAAGGCAGTGCCTGTCTGCGCAGAGCCTTAGGGCTGGACTTTGTCAACAGGCAGCACAGGAATTGGGAAGGGTTGTGTTGAGCAAGGGAGTAACAAGACTAGATCTCAGCTCTCAGAGAAATGACTCAAAGTAACCCAGGACACCCTGCAGTGGAGTTAGTGAGCCAACTAGTCAAGGCAGGAGGAGTCTGTTCCAGTACATCGCAGGGTCTGATGAAAGAAAAGATGGGTGGGGCGGGCAGGCACCAAGTGGAGGGCACGAAGAGAACCACACCATGCTCAAGGGACGCTCGCACGGGGTTGGCGTCTTGTGCGGCAGGACCCCAGCCCTGGTGGCCTCATGACCAGGAGGCCGGGGAGCATCACTGACCCTGGTTGCCTCGCGTGCTCTTCACCACGACCGGGTAACCCAGGGGCTCAGCCTCGTCAATCATTTTTGAAAAGTCGTCATGTCCACCTGCAAAAAAAGGTGAGAGTCAGTGGAAGCAAGGCTGCTGACAGGCGGTGGTCCCGGGCCGGACCCACAGGAAATCTCAGAAGGTCTCACATCCCGCGGTTTAAAGCAACCCCAATCCATTCCATCCAACAGATAGGTATTAGACACCTGTAATGTAAGAAGTAGGAGCAGAGAGGTAAGAAAACCAACATCTATCAAGCACTTTCTACATGGTGAAGGGTGCACGGGCTACAGTTCAAGGAATCCTTATGCTGATCACACAATGGGTAGCATTCCCTTCACAACAGCCATGATAGGCAGAATTCTAGGATGGCCCCCAACATCCCATACTCTGGTGAATATTCCTTGTAGAATTCCTCTTGAATGTGGGACATCATTCCTGTAATTACATTAATAACTGACTGACTTCAAGTTGTCAAAGGGGTGTGATCCTTAGTGAGCCTGACCTAATCAGATATGCTCTTAAAAGAAGGTAAAGCACCAGACTTTTCTGCTGTCCTTCTGGAAGCAAACTGTCAAGCCGCAGACAAGTGGCTTACAGGTTCTTTTGGTTTAATTCCTAGCTCTCAAAAATGTGCTAGAGAGATACGTTTTATAGGTACATTAGTTGATATAATAGCTTTCTATTGCAAAAGTAACACATTACTGCACTAACGACTCGGCAGTTTAACTCAAATATATTGTCTTACAGCTCTGCAGTCAGAAGTCTGAAATGGTTAAAATCGAAGTGCCAGCAGGCTGCATTCCTAAGACAGAATCTGTTTCCATGGCCTTCCCAACTTCTAGAAGCCACTCACACTGCTTGGCTCCTGGACCTCGTCCATCTTCAAAGCCAGCAGTGCTGGAATCCTTGCATCTCATCACTGTCCTTCCCTAGCATGCCTTCCTCTTCTTATAAAGGACACTTATCACCTTGAACTACTTAGGTAATTCAGGATAATCTTCCTATTTAAGGTCATCTGATTAGCAACCTTCATATCACCTGCAGCTTTCATTCCCTTTTGCCATGTAACAGAGTACACAGGTTCCAGGGCATCTTTACATCATGGGTATCTTTGTGGATTCATTATTCTGCCTAGCAGAGACGGTTTCATAGCATATCAACTTCTGCAAAGCAAAATACTTTGGAATAATAACGAGATCTGCCTCATTCACTAAAGTGGGGGCAGGTCGGTAATTGGGGGCATCTTCATGAAGAGCACGCTTTGCAAGAAGGAAACTCCCAACTGCCTAACATTCCACTTTACCATCGTGTCTTTCTAGTCTTCCTTTTGCTCTTCTCTAATGGTGCGCTGAGAGTGAGGTCCTCATCAAATGTCACTGCTGCTCCTGTGCTTTGGACTGCTTTCCACGTCACCTCCTAAGGGACCTTGCACCATTAAAATGTTCCTTTCTGCTGTATCTTCAACCTCAGTTCACTTTCATCAACATTTTGAATAAGCTCAGTTCTCTCCCATGTTAGATAAAGTCTTCATTCCTTGGCCCTGAAACATCCTTTCACTATAATGTTGAACACCCGCCCTCAAGTTCCTTGAAGGAGTTATAGAAACCAACTATTTCCATTTCCTCACTTCCCTCAACCCCTTACTCCTGACAGTTTGGCTTCTCTCATCACAAGGCTGACCCTGTATTCATTACACTCTCTGATGCTAACATCTCAGTGCTCACATGATTTGTCCTTTAAGAGTCACACAACACCTCACTACACCACTGTTGTAGTCAGGGGTTGCAAGGAGAACAGTTACATACAGGACACAGAATTTATAGTATTATTTTATGATGGTTACCCAGAGTTCAATACAAGAAAGTGCAGGATCCAGCCAAGGGCCTGGATTCTACCGTGTGTCCTGCATGAGTCCAGCTGAAGACCTAGAGCCCATAACAATGACCCACCAAGTCTGTTTTATGGATCTGTGCTGAGAAGGCCCAAAGGTCAGTGGTGGAAGCTAGAAAGTCTATGCCAGCAGGGTGAAAGATTTGTGCCAGTAGATTGAGGGTGCTGCAGTGGAACCAAGAAGCGACGACTCAAAATAAGAACCAAGGTTCCCCTGAAAATTACTGCAGCTATCCTCAGATGCAGCATCCTTGAGACAATGAAGTCTCAAGGTCCTCCAACAATCAGAACAGTAGAGTACATATCAGGAAGCCACCATGCCAATTTCTCCTGGAGATTAAACAGCACACATCTTCCCCTCTAGAGCCAAGAAGAGATGCTCAATGTAGGGAATAGAGCTCCTCCAAAGTGAACCACAGCCATTCCTAGTGACAAGGTCCTGAGAACCTCGGATAAAAATGGCCAAATTCATATTAGGGATGCTAGCAATGACAAGCTCCTCCAGGAGAACCAATGGCTCCAGATAACACTTAGGAGAACCCACAATGTTCCCACTTCTCCCCACGTCTCCTTTTATGCTGGAAACTTATCTCAGGTGGACCAGCGACACTCAGCACCATGCTGATTTAATTTAGCTAGTGTTAAGTTGACCATCAGTTTTTAATCTGTAACGACCACCCTTCATGAAGTAGTTTTCTCACTCATTTCTATGGTCTCCCTTCTTTCTCTTCTCACTTCTCAACTGTACCTCAGTTATTTTATAGATTCCCCTTCCTCTTTTTACTATTTTCTTTTTAGGTACTGGGACTTGAACTCAGGGCCTTGTGCTTGCCAGGTAGGCGCTGTGCCACTGAGCTACATCTCCAGCCCAGGCTCCCCTTCCTTTACCTATTAATTCCTGGGATTCCCTCTTTTTATTTAATTTTTTTATTGTGGCAAAATATATAAAACATAAATTATATCACTTCAATCCCTAAAGCATAAGGTTTAGCCTGCTTTTCTTTTTGCATTCTATATGATCTCACTGAGTAGTATCATCCATTGCTGTGACTGCTTAATATAATACAGGTTTCCAACTCCCCCCTGCCTGCTCTGTACTTCTTGCAGCCTCCAATCTATTTTCCATCACCTACTAAGTATCTTCCCTTGCATACACTGAAGACATTTCAAACAGAGTATGTCTCAAACTGAAAGCATCTGCCCCTCAAAACCGCTCACCTCCTAACCTAACCACCAATCTACTCTTCTCCCATTCTTCTAGTCTCAGTGAATGCCTGCTTCACCTCTGCCTGCTCACACGAGAAACCAGTCCCCTGATTCCTCTCTGCACTCCTCACTCCTAATTCATCACCATATCCTATTATTCCTATGCTCTTCATGATCCCTGCCCCGGCTTCTTTGCCTTCATTTTCACTGTAAGTTTTAGACCACTGCTGCTCACCCAGATTACTTAAAAAGCCTACCACGACCTGTCCTGTCTCTACCTTGCCCCACCCAACTCCTTCTCCATGGTGTGGCCAAAGTGATCTCCTATACCATGATTGTGGTAGGCCAACTTCCCACTAACACCCTCCAGGAACCTCCTATATCTCCTTCACATGCAACATAGACACCTTCTTATCTTCCTAATCTTTTGTCTTTATTTGCTTGCTTGTTTTTGAGCCAGGGTCTCACTATGTAGACTGGTCCTGAACTCACTATGTGGTCTAGGCTGGCCTTCAACTCATGGTGACCCTTCTGTCTTACCTTCCCAAATGCTGGGATTATAGGGATGTGCCGCCACACCCGGCTTGTCTTCCTAAACTTACATCTCAACTCTATTTCTCTTACCATTCCACAAACTACTTACAATACCACCAATAGATCACGTTCTCTCTTACTCCTAGATTTTTCTATATTCCGCTTTCTGCTTAAGCAATTCCCCCATATCCCTTAGTTTAGCACGATAACTTCACTCACTTCGATGCTATACTTGTAGGAAGTGTCCTTCAGTGTCTTCTAAAGTGAACCCCGAGCTCTTCTACACATCCCTACACCACCCAGGGGCCTAGCTCTTACCAGACACCTACTACACTTCACTGAAGCTTCCTATTTTTTGTCTTCTGTCTCTGATGAACTGGAAATGCCATGGGATCAGGCCCCTTGTTATAGCCCAGTGCCTCCTGCGGTCACTGGCTGACACAGTGTACAGAAGCATATTTAGTAATCTAAAGAAGCAAAGTCCATACTACCATACAGAAAAAAGCAAAGTCATCTCACAGAGAATGGCCATCATACAAATTCAAGACATTTTTATCACCTAAGATGAAGACTCATACTGAAAGGCAACCAGAAAGGTTAGAAGGTTTCTGTCCAGGGAGAGAAAATACACAGATGCCAGTGGCGGGAAAGGTAAGTCCCGACTGCCTTTGAAAGACTTACCATACGAGAAGGTGTCTGGCATGGGGACCCCATGTCCGGCCAGCTCTTGGAACGTCCAGAATTTGTTGATGCAGTTTAAGATGCTTTGTGAGCTGTTGACCAAGCGGCAGCCCAGCTTCTCCAGGTGCCTCAGGACAGTGATGTCGCTGTCCGACTGCACGGAGGGTGTGGACACCCGCACGACCACCACGTCTGGGAAAGTAGTGAGGGCCTTCTGGTTCAGCTGCAGGCCTGCAACCCAAGGAGCAGAGTAAGCGCCGCGCTTGCCGCTGTCTAGTCCCAAGTAACAGCTTCTAAGACATTCCTCAAGCCTGAACCTGGGAGAAACCGAGCCTCAAAAGCAGCCACCTGGATACTGCAGTGCGTGTCACAAGGAAACACCACTGTCACCCGTTCTTCAAGCAGATGGGCAGAGCATGATTATGAGGAAACACACAGGAGCGGACAGAAAGGGGAAAAGCAATAGATCAAGATTAACCTCAACTAGAAAAATCCACAGGAGAAGCATATTCCAAGACCTACCTTCCACAAAGTACTATCATTACTCAGAAATATAGTGGCTTAGGAGGCTTAATAAAGAGGCAACAGGGTAGCCCACTTATGGAATCTCTACCATTATTTTATGGCTTAAGCTTAAGAAAGTCTAACTGGCATATGATGTAGCCATGTAAATGATTTTTATGAATATAGTATTTTATATCATGTATAAATAAGCAACAGAATACAAAATTATATTCTCAACTATGTAAACAGATACAAGTTGGAAAATGCTAAAAAGAAATGCATCAGTATTTTAACTGTGGTCAATGGGATTACAGGGTAATTTTTTTTTGTGTGTGTGTGTGTACAGGGACTCCCACTCAGGACCTTGTGTTTGCCAGGCAGGTGCTGTGTGGCTAAGCTACATCCCCAGCCCAGGTAACTCCTTCTTTTTATACTTTAGAGTTGTCTATATTTTTCAGGATTTCTTCAAGTGCACATTGCCTTTTTAAGTGTACTATATTGAATTGGATATTCAGTATTAAAATTAATTCAAAGGTAAAGGCATACATAGAGTGGAAAGACTTGATGCTATGTTACCTTGGGTTAACTGGAGTGTTAGCTTGGTGTGAAGACTCTGAGGACCCAGAGCATAGCCTTAAGTTATTGAAGAACATCTGTGCAGAAGAATCGCATGGCTCATCTTTGATGTCTCCGAGATGGAGCTAGCTGTAACAGCATAATTTTGTTTGCACCTTTTCTAGTCCCTTGAACAGTGCCTCATGTATGGCAGGCAACTGACATTTGTGGCACTAAACAGAAACTACAGGAAGACGGCTTTGGGCTCAGAAAAATGGGTACTTCTTTCCCTTAGACAGAATGGGCCGAGGCTCACTGATCACTTGAGGATGGCCCAGAAGGGCCCATGCAGCGTGGTTGGTGCCCCTCAGCCCTGAAGTCATATAGTTTGTCTCACTCTCAACGGTCACCTGGTCATTAACAGCACCCCAACAGGGGCTGGAGTGGTGGAGATGACAAGACAAGACATGGAAATGGCGGGACACTAAGAAGTGCACTGAAAGCTTCCTGGGCTGCCTCGAGTTTCCGAAGCACTCTGAAGAAACCCTTTAAAACGTAACTTATAGGTCCTCCTTCTAGACTTTAACTTAAAGCACTTCCTATTCCTAAGTGATACTCTGTACAACCGTGTAATTCCCAAAAAACAAAGGTGCTAAGGAAGTTATTATTTCTCCACCAGGGATGAGTAATATCAGAAACCATGCTTTAAAATTGAGAAAGGAGAAAAATAAACCCTACAAAACCAAAAAAGCACCTACAAAATGACTATATGGCTCTAACATCCATACTTCCTCTGTTCTCGGATTAAAGAAGGCAGGAGGAAGATGTTAGGTGCAATTATTACAATGAATTCTTCTCAGTACTCCCGTTAAGAAAGAGATCTCAAGGAAGGAGAAAGTGACTGTGAGATATAATATGTAAACAGCACCCAGCTTCTCTTCTCTTTTCCATCAGAAAACAGGATTGTTTATATATGCTTTTACTGTTCTTTGAAAAATTTCTTTGCCATCTTTGGCCCTTGAGGAAAAAAAAAATTAAGGGAGGAAGCACTGTATAGTATCCTCAAAGTTAGTAGAAGGAAGAAGCAAAAGTATCTAGGTTGATGAAAATGGTGAGTAAATACAGAACAGCAGGACAGCATTGCACAGTGAGATAATATAGGCAAAAATGTTTTGAAAATCATAAAATGCTATACACACGCAAGGCATTTGCATTATTATTACGCAGACATTCTATTAAGCAAGGTAAGACAATTCATGGAGATTTTTACTACCTAATGAGAAAAACAGCTTTGCAACAGAAAAGTGACCTAGAGAAGCAAGAAGCAGCGAAAACATCTGGCTTTCAAATCCCAACACAAGACTACAGACAAACAGACTTCTAAATGGGAGGGAAAGAATTCAATCCGTTTCTGGAAATACCAACCACAAGTGCACAGAGACAGCTCAGCCTCAACAAGCAGATTCACATACACCTAGGAAGTCTTACCAGGACTTCATTTCTCTTCTCCAAAGGTAAATCTTTGGGCCTGGCTCATTCCAACTGAAGCCCTTAATAAATGAAGAATGGAATGGGTTAAAGTGGAGCCGAAAAGGCTCAACCAAGCAGTTAGACAGGTTTTGTGTCTGACTATGCTGCTGTCCAGCTCTGTGCAGAAGACATGATGGGTTTATGTGCATCTGCAAAACTAATTATAGCCAGCCCTATCAATTCAGGGGCTCAAGATCTGCGAATCCAATGAACTGCAGATAGGGAGTACTCAAAAAATAAATTTACATCTATACTGAACATGCACCAATTTTTTAAACCCCTACTCCATAAACAATACAGTATAACAACTGTTTATGGGGCTGAGGGGATAGTCTGGTGGTGAGACACTTGCCAAGCATGGGCAAAATCCTCAGTTCATTCCCAGCAAAACAAAACAAAACAAAACAAAACAAAACAAAACAAAACCCCCACAAATATATAGCATTTTCATTGTATTGGCTATTGTAAGTAATTTGGAGAGAATCTGAAGTATACATGTGGATGTTCATAGGTTATATGCAAATACTACGTCATTTTATACACGAGACTGAGCACCCTTGGATTTCGCCATGGAGGGAGGTCCTGGAACATCCTCTGCAGAACATCCTTTTTGACATTCTTGCTCTGAGAAACTTCACTTGCTCCTGCTCATTCCCCTTGCCTTTGCCGTCACATCTCTGGAATGCAACTTCTGGTAGAATAAGAGGTTGTCCCTCCCTGTGGCTTCTGTGAGGGCTGCAGTTACAGCATACATGATCAAGAGATCAAGAATCATTTGGGTGTAAAATTGGTCACTGGTAAACCTGTCTATGAATTCTGAGCCATTTAGCCACTTAAGCAATCTTGAGCGCTCTTTATCCCAATTAACACCTCCTCTCAGGAAAGGGCCTAATAAGCTTAATGCATGATAGTTTACTTAAGAGTTTCACCTTTCCCCACACTACAGTTCCGATCTGGCACGATGCTCCCTGGTGGACTGGTCTACTGATGAGTTCACAGTAGACCTCCTGTTCACACAGCAGTGACCTGCTGTTGGGAGATGGGACACGATCAGAAGAGGCATGGCATTGGGGGCATCGCCTAGAAGGGTACATCAGCCTCCCCAGTTCCTCCTTTCTCTGTTTCCTGGTTGTCTTGATGTGAGCTACTTTCCTCCCCTGTCCTATTTGTACACTGGAGCTAATGGATCTGTACTCTCACCATGAGCCAAAAATAAATGTTTCCTCCTTTAAGTTGTGGGTGCTGGGTGTTTTGTCCCAGTCACTTGCAATGTAACTAAGATGCCCAGAATCCTTCACCTTCCCACTATGATCTATAGGCTTCATGCCAAGAGAATGAAGAGCTGAACAGGACATGATGAAAGCAGCTCACCTGGCTGCAGTGAGAGGAAAGAAAGCCCTCAGCAATGTTTGAGTGGCTCTTACCCTCAGATAACAAGGGATTGCATGTGACTGGGCATCACTTTTATTTGGGGAAGTGGGGGAGAAGCTGAGCTGCTTCTAGGATATTTGGGAGCCCCCAGACTCCCAAACTAGGATCAGAATTTACTATGGTTAGCCTCAAACCATATTAAAAAAAAAACACCCTGAAATCAGTAAGACACTAGCAGAAAAAAAGATCATCAGACTCCAAACTAATTAGCATAATGACCAACAACCAACACAGTCTAAACTTTTTGAAACCAAACAATATTTTCTCCATCTTACTTCGGGGTGGGAGAACTGAGGATTGAAGCCAGAACATTCACACTGAGCTATATCCCTATTACTTTTTTTTTTTTTTTTAAGCAAGAAAGGGTCTTGCTGAGTTGTCCAAGCTGGGCTCAAACTTGTAATCTTCCTGCCTTAGCTTACTAGAATGCCAAGATTACAGGTGTGTGTCACCATGCCTGGGTTCCATCTTGCCTGTGTTCTGATTTTTTGGATTTTCTGTATTTGGAAATATTTTAATATACTAAAAACAATATAGCAAAGTTAGGTGCAGTGGCATATGCCTGTAATCCCAGCATTTGAGAGGCTGAGGCAGGAGGATTACCAAGAGTTTGAGGACAGCCTGGGCTCCACAGTGAGTCCAAGGTTGGCCTGAATTGAAGAGCCAGACCCTGTCTCAAAACAATGCCCAAAAATACAATAGAGCAAATTAGAGTAATTTTTTCCAATGATTAAATGTTTTTTATAATCCATATATCAGGATAAAATAAACTCTACAAAGCTAGACTTTTGCTTTTGTATGTGCAATAGCAAAGAAATACATTTTATAATAAAGAGAAATAGCTTTAGTGTGAATACATAAATCATTATTTGACAATAGAGTTCTAAAACTTAAAGAAATTCTCCATCATTCAAACCAATAGAGGGAAGCAGAAGCAGGGATAATAAAAGAAGCTATAAATTCAGACTTGAATTCAACTAGCATTTTTATTGAACACCTTTAGGTACTCTACTAAAAATGATCACCTATATTATCTCATTTAAAAGCATCTTATAATCTGGATCACTGGAACCAATTTGACTGTACATGCTTTGGCACTTACGTAAAATTTGTATAGTGGATCAGCATGCTTCCAACCTGCGCAAACACATTATGCATTTGTTGTGCACACGTAAGCATGCTTGGTGCAGCACTAAACTGGTTCCCTGTGT